TGTAGATGTGGTAAGAACAGCTGTAAGCATATGGGTATCTTATTACAAGGGGTTAATTAACAAGCAATACTTGCATCATCATTCCAATAGGGTATGCTTAATAAAGTAGCCTCACAGAAGAAGGAATAACACTTTTTACTTAATTGACGGATTTTGCTTTATTGTATGATGTTCCTGAATGAGTGACGAGAAGCAACAGCGATATTCACCGCTGCTGGAATTTTGATTCAGTAGAGCAGAGGAACCCGTTTCTTGCTGATCTGATACTGTGTCGATGCTCACTGCGAAGTTTTACAGCGCCGACAATGATTCATTCATTTTCAAAGCTGTCGCCGACGAGAGATAATTCTTATTTCTTCGTTTCCATCAAATATATATATATTTAGAGGTCAGTGGGATCAATTGATTTTCTACAATCTCGGATTCGACTAAGACGTGTCGCCGAGCTTCTTGCCTCGTTTTGTGCTGGTCTATTTTAGTTTCTGTTCACCTTTATTTCATCAAGTTTATATACCCTCCCCTCCCCCACAAACCCCTTCAACATCAGGGTGCATTTTGCAATTAAAACCCTTAATTTTACTTATGCGCAGCTCACCGAAAGGTTTGTTAAATATAAAACTGGTTTACTCACAATGCCACGAATATGCAGAATATTATTTCTCGATTCAGCCAACAAGTGAAGCCCAGAAATGTATTATCCCAATCACCTATACCCGTATCTTATCTCTATAAATGTATGCATCTATCTAACTATCTCTATATCCATCTGCTATCTGTTATGTCAGTGCACCACATTTTCAGCGTTCATTTATTATAACGCTCAAAAACAATAATGTCTTTATTGTCAATTAATGTAGCTGGTTTTTTATACTACATGCAATAGATAATATTTCAATTTGCATCAATGTAATGGAACGCAAATTAAGCATTGCACAAAAGGCAGCAAAATAAATCTTAGTCTAAAATAAAACTTCCCCAATACCATTTGTTCTCTGAAGTATTTGGGGTTTAAAAGGGCAAAAGATGCTAATACCTTACAGCCACCGATGACATTTAAAATAAACCATGCACTTCGTGAGCAGCAAAACAAATTAAACATATCGATTGAATGCTTGGTGTCTCGTTTATGATATAAAAACATATCAGGCAAACTGATTTAAACTAGCAATGTTCATCAAAGCACCAAAGAGAAAGGTAACCATGCAATTTCCGCCTCAAATCGAATCTAACGACTACCGTAGAAATACACAGTTCCTGTCATCGGGTTTCTGAATGTTAATCCAAGAGCAGTCCGGTATTTGATTGAAATGACCTGTAGTAACTATGTTATCTGCTCAGGTGAGGCATTAACAGTTAGACTGAGTCAGATGCAAGCGCTCCATTTAGGATCATGTTACCATGTTACCTAATATGTATTGATACAGTTCTTATTGATTTTGTTTTACCTTAAATTATATTTTCCTTCCCCAAAACAGCATGCCCGATGCTTCTTGGTTCTTCAGCGATGTTAGTCCATCTTTGAAGCCGCTCAGACTGTAAAGAAGTCGAGGCATTGCAGGATTATTTGAGCTCAACTCAGGCAGTGTTGACTTTAGCACAAAGCAAAGATTTCACTGCCCAGCTAGGTTAAAAAAAAATGATTATTTTACCAAGATATCGATCTACGTTACAAAATTCCTTTAAGTATAATGGCAAAAAAAAATCTGCAGTATGGAAAGAAATCTGCGTAAATTGACTGAAGTGTGACGTGTTGTTGAAAGCTTGGAATTTGATTCCAGATCTTCTTGTTTACTGATTCTGTTTATTTGCAGATCGCGAGTTTTTGTCCACCCCCACCCGCTCCAGAAAGCATATACCGGCTCACAAGGATCGAAGTTTGAAATAAATGTAGAAATAATCTGAACGTGAGGCAAAAGTTGAACACTGATCATGTTTTAACATGACCTTTAAGATTGTGATGACTGAGTAACGATGACAGAAACGTTCTTACGAGTCAATATTATATGTATGTATAAATATATATGTATATATATACATGTATATATTGCAAGGTTTGATGCGATGATAAAGCTTCTCTGGTGGGACTGTTGAAGTGAGAGACACTAAAAACCAACCTCCGGCAATGGCTCTGTGATTTGGGACACGCAGGTTAGAGCATCGCATTCACACGCTATTGTTGGCAAAGTTGGCTCATTTCTCGCTGCATTTTGCTTCGCTCCGGGAGCCTTTTATGTGATAATGAAACAAATTTCATGGTTCGTTCACAACGTGTGTGTCCTTGGGGGTCGAGATACAAGTAATTCCTGGGTAACTGCAGTGCGAACGGTGTGTTGGAACAATGCGGAATTAACAGAGGATTTAATGTTGTTATTTTGCTCAACAGCACTCTATTACTTCGCTGACGCGTGGGAAACATATCCAACTGGGGGAAGGGCGAGCAACTGAACTAAGGATTTTTTAAAACAATATGTTCCATCTTCCTCAAATTATCATGTTCTTTACCCCAGTTTTGGATTAAGTTTCCATCAGCTACTTCTGAACATTGAATATATTTATATGCAGCAAATTATAAAGTATTGAAAGATTATGGCTGTGCTTCTTTTTGACTGTCACCTCTAACGTTATGCAAAACATTATGCAGAAGAGTATGCGGTTTTGTAGTTTGGAAAATAGTTCCGTTTAAATATCTATACAGAGAGGAAACACAGCCAACTCACTCGCTGCATGTTATGACAGGTTAAACTTTCAATGCGATTTTGACTCGCCTTCCCCTGCCATTCCTGGCGATGGCAAAAAAAAAACAGCACGTGTTGAAACGAGACTTGTAGAAGGTTTTGTTGCTTGATTTATCCATTGCATAATTAATGTCGTTATAGAACTGATAATGGTTTGGTTGTCTCTATCTTTAACCCGGATTCATAGGTTGGATATAGAGGCAGCGAGCCTTATGCAATTTGCTACGACAACACAGTGCAGTCTCCAGTTTGCTGACTGCGGTCCCTGGTTTCTTAAGTTTAATTTTAAAACAATATCTATTTCAAGTGGTCATAGAAAGCGGATATGCTTTTTAATGAAGAAAAATACAAGAAAATAATCTGATTGAAACTGGTTTCAGAGTTCCAATAAGTTTTTGTTTGACACGTTATAAAGTGCATTGAGCATTTAAGACAGGTCATTTATTCTACACGTATGGCTGCGTTTAGCAATTTAGATGCACCGTATTTCTTGTGTGTGGTTTGAGTTATCAGACTGGTCATGTTGCATTCTGCTTTCAACACGAAGGTTTTCAAATGGCACGGGGCAGGTTTTAACCTTTTATATATTAAAACTAACATGACCCGAGATTGTTTTAACTTACTACAGTATTAACCACATCAGTTTAGATAGGAGCAGAACAAAATGATAGCTAATGGACCCATTATCTCACCGAACAATGATGAGATTTAGGAGATTGAACGAAGCAGATAAGAGAAAGAGAGAGAGGGGGAGAGGACCATTCTCACAAGAAAGCCGAAACAAACGTCGAAAGCGAATGTGCAATCGGAAAAAAAATATTTTAGAGGATATCAGCTTTATCCTGACATATCTAGGCCCGGTTTTTGCATAGATCATAACATTACCAATACTAACGGGATTATATTAATCATTTCAAAGGAGGAAAAAAAAGACAATTTTAATAATTCAAATGAACACCGGGCTTTGCACTGTCAGTGAAAGAACAGTTATAAATTATTGAAGCGCAAAACAAATCGCGCTGCCTGTTTGGCTCTGGCAGTTGGTTAAACAGGAAACTTGCCAAATCTCCGACATATTTTGTAATTAAATTAAAATCCGCAAGAATAATAGTGAAAATTATAATCGGATTTGGAGGCTGACTCGTCATTGTATTGCAACTCTCGGCAGCGGTGATACACTTTGAACGTATGAATGGTGTTAAGTGGTCTTGTAAATGAATAAAACGATGATTGAAGGATGATCTTATTTAACTGCTAGAATGGCTCAGGTATCCCGCTGTTCATTAAAAATGACCCAATGCCACAGAAATATCCCACCACAGATGTCCTACCAATGCATGAACCTACCAGAAATAATTATATTTTACTGTATATGTAAAATATTATAAATAGTAATTTTGTTTATTATTATTATTTCTCCTTCACACATTGCCTTTCAAGCGAACACGAACGTGTTTATTCATATCTAGGTGTACCGGGAGCTAAGTATTAATAACAAACAAAAATTAGATCATTTTTAGATTTACACTAACTAATGGGAGACCTAACAGGGGAAATAAATGTCCATCAACACCGAGCCTCGTCTGAACGCTGCGTGCTGGACATTCCTCTTAAATACCTTTTCAATGGAGTTGCAGTAATTCGTTTCGTAGATGGGAAACCTACACCGTTTCTTTCGAACAAGAACCAGAGGCAGACGACAGCAGACTGGACAGCTTTTTTTACCTGGCGCCACTTTACGTGGTTGCAACAGTACCATGACTAAAAAAATACAAGTGCACACAGCGCAGTGCTAACTTGGAAAAGGGACAAACAGACACTCGCCGCGTATTCAAATCCATTGCATCAAAACGTTTACAAGCTGCAACGCCCCAGGACGCCTCAGTTGATATAGCGCAACGATACGTACTGTAATTGCTAAAGCCGTCATTTCGAAAGTAAGACGATGCTATTCGAGGCAGGAAATGTTTGCCTTATCAATGCAGCTCCATAATATATTAGAAATAAAATTGGAATACTTGCCGGATATACTTTAACGACTGATTGGGATTGGGAACACCCACCAATGAATGTCCTGTAGAGATAGATCGAGTTGCGGAGGTTTCGCATGACCAGGTAGAATGCGCTGAATGCTACCACTTTGTCGAAAATGTAGTTTATTTCTGCTTGTATGGTTCGACGAGAGTCTAAAATGCCAACAACCGAGTGACACAACACAAAAAGCGTTGACAAAAATATCACAGCGCGTCTCACTGGATCAAAATATGTTCGTTTTATTTTTTTTGTGTGTGTGTTTTGTTACATTTATCTTTATAAAATGTTAACATTTCAACGAAAACGGTTTCGATTTCTTACAGCGGAAAGAATCCTTCACACTAAAATCTAAAAATTTTAACAATAAATTAAATCACTTTTTCAGTCCAAATAGCCACTGGGGGGGGGGGGGGGGGGGATTTTTAATCGTATGTAGTTGCGATCCCGGGCTACCAAGGAACTGGGTTTATGAAATTACCAAAAGTGCAACAATTCAAGAACAATTAACCTCTGGCTAGAAGGCATCCGACAGCATCCCCTCCAAATAGCGAATAATGTAACCACTGCACTTGACAGGATAAATCTGTGAACATCTACTACACAAACATAATACTTTTTATTATAGTTTCTGAAAGCCCGGTAAAACTACAAGAAGAGAACGTTTCACAAGCCATAAATAAAGCATATACAAAGGATAAATTACTGGTAGATTTTTTTTTGGGGGGGTGGGAGAGAAAACGGCAACAAACATCTCATCGCCTTTTTTTTTAATATGAGAAAAAAAGAAACAGCACTGGTTCGGGTCCATGCGGAAAGCCGCGTGGAGAGCGTTTTAATCTTACACAGTAAACGTTGCCTTTTCGGGTGTTTTTTTTTCGTGGAAAACATGAAAATTGAGCTCCCAACACAATACAGTCAATCTGATCAACAACTGGGTTATCTAAACAATTTCAAACATTTAAAAACAAGTATCTGGAATGGATGGACGCATCAACATTTACAAATGTACACAGCTGACAAAGTCCATTTCTGCGTCCAAAGCCTTTTTAAGAGGAGTTCATAATAGGTCTAGAATACACACCTTGATAGTAAGACGCGTCGCTCGCAATGGCCGATGTGTCTAAGACGGTTTTGGAACTCATGGGGAGGTTAGCGGTCATTGGGGACCCATAGTTAGAATAGTGCATCACTTGTTCGTAAGCTTTCAGGTCCATTTTGTGATGCTGCTGCTCGGACGACATTAGGTTGTTGATTGAGAACGGGTGGTTGAACGAATAGTGGTGGTCCGGCTTCAGGTGAGCCTGCGCTTCAGATGCGATGTGAGACAGGACCGAGTGGTGTTGATGCATCAGATGTTGCTGGGCTTGTGCCACCGAGGAGCTGGTGTGGCTGTGCTCGGGGCTGAGGGCTGAGGCTGACTTCATGTCCACCAGTGACCTTTTCTGCTCACGCCCTGGAGAAGCACTGGAATGGGGGGACTCATTCCCGTTGGTGCTCTCCGAGCTGCTGTTGCTGCCCGTTGACCCCGTCTCCGACGTTTTCCTGGTCGTTTCCTGGGCGCTCTTTAGCGCCTGCTTCTTTTCGCACTTGAAGCGCTTCTGCCTCCTGAGGTAGCAGCCGTTCTCGAACATGTTGCCCGAGTCGGGATGTAGGGTCCAGAAGGACCCTTTGCCCGGCTTGTCTGGCGACCGGGGGACTTTGAGGAAGCAGTCGTTGAATGACAAAGAGTGGCGGATGGAGTTCTGCCAACGTTGTTGATTCTGACGGTAGAAGGGGAAGAGGTCCATTATCCATTGGTAGATCTCACTGAGGGTCAGCATCTTGCTGGGAGATTGCTGGATAGCCATGGTTATGAGCGAGATGTAGGAGTAAGGAGGCTTGGCGTGAGTGTAACTGCGGCGATAAGTCTTGGGATCCCTGGATCTGTTGAGGTTGGATTGCCCGTACATGGGACTCATGCTCATATTGGTGTAAGAAGTCAAGGCATTCATGGAACTAGCCTGGGCGCTCATCGGACTCATGTTGGGGCTAAGGCCAGTGCCCATGCCCGTTACCCCAGCTCCCATGCCATTCATTGCCCCAGCACCAGGAGACATACCAGTCATTGAGGGGCTCATGCCGGTGCTCACATATGACATGTTCATGGACCCTGCTGCCATGTTGCCCGCGTTACTCATCGCAGACATGCTCATATAGGTGTTCATGCTATTCATTCCAATCCCTGGATTCATATTGCTCACAGTGGGGTAACCCTTCAAAAAGAAATTCCAAAAATCCACTGTTATTGTTTTTCGCAAAAAAACGTGTTAAAAATCATTAGATTTTTAAAGAATTCACATCTAGCATCGACAGCCGGTTATGTAACTTATCAACTGCAATTTTTCAATAAATATCGTCAATATTTACCACTAGCAAAGCTCGTCGACCTCTGTGGGGTTTATTTGTTATTTTTGGTAAGAAAACGTTACCCTTTTGTGTTAACAGACCCAGCTAACCAGACAGCCATCCACCAAAGCGTAGGAGGCTTCTCATTGCCAGCCTGAGCCATCGCATTGCTTGTTTTATCGATCCATGTTATTACATTTGTCTGTATGAGTCGATGAACTTTTGAAATTATTTTTTTTTTAAAAAAATATATATCCTAAAGCACGGAGGAGATCGTTAAAAATATAAAGACGACCTCAGCAAACGCACCGCCCAAAGCAACCCCCGGGGTAGGGAAGGAAAGTGTTCAATCGCGTGGAGGAGAGCTGAAAGCCTTAACTTAATCCGCCCAACAAATACACGGCCTCTCGCTTTTCGTAAATAATACTCGAGGCTGTGTTCTCATCATCGGGAAGGACAACACGAAAAAGCTAAAAAAGCGTCTGGAAATGTTTAAATGCGCCACAGAAGTTTTTTGAAAAGTCAAACAGAAACTTTGTTTAAAGACTGTTGCGTGCAAATCGAGGAGGAATTGGAGGCGCCGCAAGTCAATATTTGATCGCAAAGTTAATATTATCTTAAGGCTAATATTATCTTGTACATAAAGAGGATTGCTTTGCCGAAACCTACCTCGGGCTCTCCATAGTAGGAGCTCCAATCCGTGTGCTCGTGTCCTTCCATTTTCACTGCGCCCAGCATGGTGGGAGCAGCGTGCATTATAGGGCTCTGGGAAAAAAAAAAGTTCCTGCCGAGAAGATCGTGGGCGATGGATCTCCGTGTCGGATTGCGGAATAGGTTATTCGGGAAGTGGTGGGTCTGCGGGTTGTTGTAAACTGCCGCTGGAAGCGATCTAAGGCGTCTGATGATGACAGGAGTCAAAGTGACGTTGGTGGCGGGCGGTGGAAGGTGATATAGCTGTGTGCGCGTAGGGCGAACCTCCAATCCCAATTTCCTTACTGCCTATTTGAATAATCATCTCACACCTCGGCGTGAGAGCATTCAGTTTTGCCCCCTCGTTGCACACCTGCCACAAGTATTGCAAAAAAAAAAGGAGAGCGTCTGAAACAGATCCATTAAAAACCTTATTATTTCTGATTTGTTCCATCAATAGAAGCGAGTTTTTTTTTCTCCCCCCTTCCCCCCCCCCACCTCTCTCTCTCTCTCCCTCCCTCCCTCCCTCCCTCTCTCCAAAGTCCAGTCTTCGCCCTTCACGTTTATAACCGCCGACACTTCTAAGCACAAGTGGGCTTTATCGCGGCGGTTTTACGTTTCGTTGACGACACTGCGGTGCTTTTAAATGACCTGCAGAAGGCAAGTCCACTTTGGCCCTTTTTTTTTGGGTATGAAATCGATCCGTTTTGATCAATCAAGTTTAGTTACGAAAAGTGTGTGAATTATTTTGCTGAAGCGGTCGCGCACACCACTTCCTGAACCGACATGTACGGATGGTTCAGGTGTGCGGAGCATTTTAAGCCGATAAAGTAGATATATATATATAAAAGATGGGACTGGTGGCTTTGCTGGGTCTCGCTGTGTGGAGCACAAGTGCAGTCTGTTCCAAGGTTACCCCCGATCGCTGAAATCTCTCTGTAAAATTTCGTAACCCAAACCAACCAACAAACAAAAAGGATAAGAAAGAAAATTCGCTGGAAAATGAAACTGGCCCGATTCTAACTACCGCCTCGTCCTATCTTTGTGTGGTTTTTTTCTTTTCTTTTTGAAACACGAAACAAAACAAAAAACTCGCAAAAAATAATCAGAATGTCCAAATAATTCAAAGTGAAGACTTAAAATCCGGTGAAGAAAATCGAGGTTTCATTTCTCCGGTGAACACTGAGGTCAATTGCTGGAATATCGCAACATAATTATTGTTTTTTTTTCTTGTTTGGCTTTTTTTTAAATATTCTGGACTCTAGCAAGTATTCCTTTTATTTATTCAAAACAGTGGTCCTTGTTTAAATATATTAAGTAAGGTAACCTTTATATTAAACAACCCCCCCCCCCCCCCCCCCCCCACGTGTATGTGTTTATCAACAGAGATTTGAAGGATTCACTAAATGAGTATTGGTACATAAATGCCCCCAAACACACACACACACACAGACAGAAACGTTACATTCTTTGATGTGGGATTAATGGTTCAATCGCCTCGTCCCATACTCCAAACCGCAGTTGCAAAATATTAGCAATGCTTAAAATAGCAATTATTGTGACTAATTTGTAAGTAATACACTAATTTGTAATTCAGGTGGGCATAAAGGGACCGCCCGTGTTGCTGCTATTTCAATGAAAGGTGGAGCCTGTATCCTTGTTATCCTGGTTTATATTCCCTTCCCAATTCAAATTTACCCTTGAATTCAAACGAATTGGCTGCTCGTCTCGTTGTTGTTTCTGTGCAATTCTTGAGGCGGATTAGCCGCCTTGTTTGCTTATATCACAACCCCCACTTTATTTCTGACCTATTATATATTTTTGCCAAGCGTTTCCTGGCGTGCTTATTTTTTTTAGTTGAAAGGCGTTGTTAATATGACTCCCAAATTATCATCTGCTATTGGATTTTTAAAATATTTACATTTGTGCGGGCTTTTAACGTGATTCTGACACCAGCATATGCAATATATTAAAAAAAGCAAGTATAAATATAAAACGAAACTGGTGTTATTGTTAATAATAATATCTAGGGGCGTCGATCACAGCACTGCAAGCCCTCGAAATAAATAACATTGACTCCAAGTCTCGTGGTCTTGTGTACCTGAGAACACTTCTGTGCTATGAAACTAATGTGAGCTTTATAACGTGATGAGGGGTTATATGCGGGTGGTAGTATTTGATGGCATTGTAACCAGGGGTTTCAATAACACAACGAGCTTGCTGTTTTGTTTGGGGTGTTAGATTGGCCTGTGCCATTCTGTGGCATTTCAGTATCGGTCGTACTTTATTCACACCTATTGTAACTGCAATAGCATAGTGACTGCAGGAGGTAAATATTTATCATCCCCACCCAGAGAGACGTGACTTGCTGTACAGTATACTCCCAGTCTGATCGCCAAGCCCTGTATCCCTCAACTGCAAGTGATCCGCGGGTGGATTCTACTTGACCGATTTTTAGTTATTGCTGCTTTGGAAAACTAAAATTGTGCGAAATTCAAAAAGAAACGATTCTCGGGGAGCTTTGCATCTTTTTTTGCAACGGGAGACGCCGCATCTACTCAACGGTGATCGGTTGTAACCGTGAATTAAAATCAACACGATATTTCATGAAATGTCAGTGCTTCAGTTAGTAAAGGGGATTACAAATCAAGGTGCTGGTTTGAGTTATGTTGAGTGTGGTGTTTACAGTGATGTTGATCGCTGAATAACCACGAACAAAGTTGTCCAAGAGCTCCTCCTAATGACTGGTCTGTAAACTGGATCAGCCTCCGGCTCACACACAGGCGCAGCCTTTTAAAGGGCAGCCACCAATGGTCAGAGAAAGATGTTCGGTATCAACTATACCTTCTGTACCGAGCGATTGCAAAAAAAAAAGATTTTCTTTTCAAACCCAACGAAAAGGACAGGTTGAGCCGTCGTTTTTAGGTGTGAGTCCCGAGCAGGAACTATTTTAATGGACCTGGACTGTGCTGCATATTGGATGGATTTTGACAAGTTTAAAAACGATTCCATTATTAAAATGTAACCCGTATAAATGCTGAAGTTACTACCCACGATCTTTAAAACAGGGAGTTTTTTGAACTGCTTATTGCAACAGCAGGAATTAGAATGGTAGGTTAGCAGGAAAGCTTAGCCGATATTTTTTTTTCTTTTTAGATGCTGTGGATTTCCAGCCTTTCTGGATTCTGTTAGATTTCCAGATTTTCTTCTTATTTCTAAATATTGTAACACGGTTTGGTTTGGGTAAATATGCACACTCACATTGGGATAATCAATTGACTTCTGATTTAACTCTTGTATTTAGTAGGAACACAGTAACTTAGTATGGTAACAATTTTAGACCACTGAATCTATCCACTCTACTTCCCAAATATTCCTTCCGATCTCAGCATCTAAAAACTCCCAAACCTTTTTTAATTTCTCCAGTTCCTGTTAGAAACCTTTTATAACATAACATAACATTGGATCAACTGTGCATGCCGGACCTCCTGTGCTGGGGGGCTGACTGACCGCCCCTTTACTAAAAGCATTTTTCCTGCATTTCCTATTCTCTTTTGTTGCACTTGTTCTGAAGCGGTGACATTTCCAAAACAAAATCCATCAGTGGATTTTCCTGAAACAACAAGAATACAATTTCCACTTATATAGCGCCTTTCACGTCAGGGGGACGCCCCAAAGCGCTTGATATGAGTTGAATGAGACGCCACCCAGTAAAAAAAAACCTACAGTAAGTTGCAGATAGCGCTAAAGATGGAAATAACTCATAATCGCAGCACATCTTATTGCATAGAACACACTCATTGTTATACATAATACGTTGAATGCAAACATGCAACTTCAATTCATTATTTTACACAACAGAACTATATTTTCCTCAGAGTGACAATGGGTTAACGATCCGAAGAGTCCTGTAGCTCAGTGGTTAGAGCACTCGCTTTGCAAGTGAGAGACCTGAGTTCAATTCCAGGCAGAGGGCGAAACCTTGGGCAAGTTTCCTTACTCCACACAGAACCTAATAATAATCCCTCCAAAACCAAAACCAATAATAAATTGGTCATTTTCAATCTATGACTGTTTGTGGGACATTGCTGTGCGCAATTGGCTGCCGCGTTCGCCCACAAATATACAGTCAATTCACTTTACAGTATATTCTGTGAAGCGCTTTGGGACGTCCTCCTGACATGAAAAGCGCTATATCAAATGCAAAGATTATTATTATTATTATTATTAAGAGGATTCCCTTCTAACATTAAAGGTCTTGTAACTTTCTTCTTGTCGAATCTATGTGTGAAGGTTTGTTGGACGATGCAATGTATGATCATGAGGTACAATAGCATTACGTGCCTGCACTGCTCTGGTCAGCCTGATACCTCTTTAACTCAATCTTCTATATCTGATTCCCTGGACTTCAGTTTTACATTATTTTGCGTCACATTTTCCAACCTCATTTTTTAAAAGTTTGTCAACAGATTTCTCCATTGCACCACAATGATACAACGCATCAGCCAAATTTTGAAAGGTTTTTTTGTTACTGCATGGATGTTCTGATGCATTAAATTCACAGTAACTGTGGAAGGGAATTCTGAAAGCGCCAGACTTCAGTTGTACATTTAGTCTGGCTCTTCAGATCTGTCTACTTTCTCATTGCTTTCTAATGTAATAAAAAATGTGTTAATAACCGTGTTATTATTAGCAATTATTTATTAGCAAATATTATGACACATTTTGGAGTAACTATGTTGTAGTATGGTTAGCATGACTTAGCAATAACATACGATTTTTCAAATTATTGGTGCCTGTTCTATCACACAAGGTATTATGTTAAAATGAGTTTATGAAGCTGCTGAATGCAATTGATTTCCTTAAGTATGGCCTGCTTTCACTTTTCGTAGGAACTGTACTTGGTTTTGGGTCCTTCGGCTCCCTCTAGCGGTTCATCTCTCACAAACTTGCCTCCGAATTAGTGTTAAATTGAAGTTGAAATTGAAAAGGTTTGCTTTCATCAAGTTTAATAACATTCTTTCTTCTTTCCAGTATATGCAAAAAAATTGTTCCTGGTGCTATATTTGCTTGTCGGTCTCTCCAACTTCTCCCTCCATAGGCTGCAGATCATCGAGAACTCTATATCCCGTGTCCTCCCCCGCACCAGGCTCCGTGACCCTATCACCCCCATCCTCGCCCGAATCCACTGGCTTCCCATCACACAGAGGATACAGTTCAAGAACCTTGTCCTCACCTTCAAAGCCCTCCATGGCCTTGTTCCACACTACCTCTGCAACCTCCTAATCCCCTACCAACCTGCCCGCTCCCTCCGCTCAGCGGGCCTGCTTCACGTCCCCCACCTCACCCACTCCACCATTGGTGGGCGGGCCTTCAGCCACTCTGTCCTCACCCTCTGGAATTCCATCACGCAGTGCCCTCGCCCCCTCCCTTGCCTCCTTCAAGATCCATCTCAAGACCCTCCACGAAATTGCGCTTCATTGGAGAGAGACACAT